AGTAGTAGCAGCAGCAGCAGCAAGGAGGGTAAGAACACTACTAACAGTAGTAATGGTAGCCGTAGTGTTCATCATAGTGATAATACCACTGGTAATAATGCTTCATGATAGCAATAGTAATAACATCACAACAACAATGCTTTTCGTACTACGAATACTGGTATGCCTGATAATAATAATAATATTTACAGTATATTCTGAAAAATAATCATGATAGGACAAATAACAGTAGAAATACTAGTAGTCCTAGAGGGGAGGAGAGGCGGAAACGGGGAAATGCGGGGGTATCGCACAAAACAAGCAGCACAACTCCACATAGACCTCTGAAGGACCTAAAGCGGTCACCAAGTAAGGACGACAGACCATGTGAGGGATCCCAAAGCAAGCTTTCGGGCTAGGCCGGATCACAGCTATGGCCTGAACCGTGTTGTGGCTTGTGCCGAATCCCACAATTAGGCCTTTGGATCCCGCAGTCAAACTGAATCGTGTCACGATTCGGCGCGGAAGCACCACCATCTCAGTCAATGATAAGCATTCTACGGGGTTTTCAAGGAGAATGTGTTTTATTTATAAATGATTTATGGTTAAACGCTGGTCATGCTAGCATAGCATTTGTGCTCGCTCTGCTTCGAAATCCTGTTCGGAAGGTCGAAATCAATAAAGCATCATCATGCAAAGGCTGCTGCCAGTTGGGCAGTGCAACGCATGAAACAAACCTCAATCACACAAACTTCAAAATGTCGGCACAGGCAGAGACGAAGGCTTAAGCGATCGCCGGTGGAATGCCGTTAAGGAGGACATGGGTCAAGCCGTCAAGCCGTTGCTGTGATCGCTTCGTTGCCCGTGGTGGTCATGCCACATTGTCGGCGACATACCCGCATGACACTGTACGTGGAAGAGGCCGGTCTTTAGCTGGAGGCCATTGCTTCCCAGCCCGCTGCTCGTCAAGTGCAGCCAAGTCCCGACGTCAGCGAAGCGTCACTGCAAAAATAGGTTTCACGTTTCAAGCTGAGTTCAGGAGCTCTGCAAGCCGAAGCTACACTGCTACATTCCATCTAGCAGGGGAGGATTCGATCAACAAGAATTCCGCTTGATGGCTGTAAACCCCAGGCAGGTCCCAGTAGATCAGTCTTAGGCTCACAACCCCCGGGGTGGGTCGGGCGGGATCAAAAGATTTCATCCTTGCGCCAAAATGGCACGGATGGGTTTCCCTTCCCTCCCCCCCAGTACATGTCGTGACACTCTCAATTGTTAATGCGGCACTTACATGCCTTCTCAACAATTGTTCACTACTAACATGTGTGTCCCTCCCAACCCGCCCAGCTTTTCTCAACGAAAAGGATGGAAGCATGCAGCACTGACATCTACAGTCAAGTGCAGCCTGGACCCCAGGCCTGTTCTGTTGCAGATGAATGGGGTGCGCCAAGCCAGCCCCGGACCTGCCATGCAGCAGGGCAGGAGAAACAATCTCCTCATCCCACACTACCGAGGGCGAGTGAAGGGGCACCGCAACACTTTCTCACTGGGCGAACTCCTGCAGGCATCCCGCTGCTGTGCATTGTCTGCACCCTTCGGGGAAAGTCCGCAGCAGTGTAAAGCCTGTACGTCCTCTGTACTCGCAGCCACAAAAAGTGCATGATTCGTCCCTAACTGCATGAACAATGGAGCTCGCCCAATTGACTACGAAACGGGGGAGGAAATGCCTCTGAAATTCCTCGCTCCACGCATCCTTAACTTCTTCCTGCGTCTGCTTCAGCTCTTTCACCAACGACAGAATGTCATCCTCTCGCTGCTCAAAAGTGCCCAGCAGTTGGGTGACTCGCGGCTCCAGAGCTCTAGTGATCTGTTCATCAATCACCTCTTTGAGGTGGACGTACGTCCCATCTTGGCTAGACAAAGCTGTAGCAGTCTGTACCTGCACTTCTTCGACAGAAACGTTTTGTAAGCTAGACGGCAACCACTTCTCTGAGCCTTCAAGCGGCGCATCTCTCAAATAGCGCAACACCGTGTCACTGCCCCAACGACAGAACAGTTGTATTCGATAATACTCAATGCCCTGCCTCGCAAGGAATTGAGCGCCAGTAGACCTGAGCACGTGCCCGGTGAGAGACTGAACTGCCTCCTGACTCCAGCCCAACGCTTGGGCTACTGACCGGAAAGCCTCAATCATGGCTTTCTTTGTGGGGGGCAGAAGCACATCATGCGTGGCCAAAAATGGTGAATCATCAGTCCCTCCGCGTGCTGTGCCATCATCATAAATCTTACGGGCGGCCTTCACTGGGCACAGCTCAGGGGCGACACTGCAAGTACAGCCTTGCTTGCGGATGACCCCTTCCGCTTTGGGGTCGTTCTTGGTGGCCGGCAAGCTGAGGACTACCACTCCGCAGGTACCTTCTTTGTCCTCAAAAGTAACTTGGCTGCGTCTTCGGCAAGCTGCTTCCACCTCTCTGCAAGCAAAAAGGCTGAACAACACTACAGTAGCCACAGGGAAGCGTGGCCAGCCAGGCTGAGCTTCTGGTTCTTGGACTCCTGCCAGACCACGCAGGTCAAAGGCCTGACACTGCTTGTCAGGGCCCAAACCCCGAAGGCAGGACCGGAGAGCATCCTTAACTGCAAGCGTCAAAGGATCACTCCAAGGATGATCCAGTTCTATGTGTCGTCGCTTCAGTGCGCCCAAGTAGGCCCCGGCAGACCTGTAGCCTCCCGCCTTCAAAAGAGCGCCAGCCAAAGCCACTTTTGAAAACGTCAAAGGGTAGGGAGACACGCTTGCCGCCTCTGCCCGGCGAGCCCACCAAGCTTGGCGCGAATTTGCATTCCCAACGTTGGAAGATGCAAACTTGTCACTCTCAAACTCTTCCAGTGCGCGAGTCAAAGCAGCTGGGTCTCTCTCAATTTGGCTCACCAGAGCCTCAGAGCCCCTACTGTAGGGTTTCACTCCAGGCTCGGTTTTACGAAGCTTTCCTGGTGGGGCTGTTTCCTCCAAAACAGGGAGTGCCTCTCCAGACTCTCGTTGCACAAATAGGCTGCCACGAGCTGCTTCTTCTGCTGTTGTGAACTTAGCAGGTCCCGGCCAACTGTCCTCGTCGCCGAAGCTGTCCCCAAGTTTCAGGGAAGCTTCGCCCTCGCTGTCTGCTTCGCCGTCTCCACGCTTCAAAACCGAAGAAGCTGGGCTGCCCGAGGAGGCTCTCGACGGTGCAGGAGAAGGCACGCTATTTCCCGTTTCCCCCGCATATGGCGCAGTGCTTGCGACTGCCACCACAACAGGGCAGGCATGCAGATCATGACATTGTGCGTGAAAAGGACCGTCATCGCAGAACTGGCAAAACGCAGGAGCCTCCACAGGATGTAGGCACAGGACACAACAAACGGTTTCCTTCTTCAATCCCGCATCCACCAACTGGGTTGTGGTGATGTAAGTAGGCCGAACGTCTGGTGAGGAGTTGAGCGCTGCAGGTGGGAGCACAAGTCCACTCCAGGCCGTTCCGTGGCCTTCTGGGAGAGATTCGGTATGCGCTCGCTTCATGGCGCGCAGCTATGCTACATTACACGGAGAACGGCCTGAACCAAAAACATGGCGGCCTGACAGAGCACGTAGCACGTTTGCGAACTAACAAACTAGGCACCACGAGGCGCGTGACTCTGCAAACACTCTCAGAAAGCAAACAAACATGCCAGGTATACGTGGGTCGTTTGAGCCCCAGTTGAAGCCTAACCGGCTTGATTTGGGGTCAACCCAGACTGTGAGCAGCACAGCACACACAGCGGTTCTGCCAGCAAGCACATTTGCTCGAACAGCTGGAGCGTACCGCCAAAGTACGGGCCCTTGCCTGTGCAACGGTAGATGCCGCAACTCCGGCGGCACCGATGCCGGCTTTCGAGGATCTGCCAGTCTAGACAGGGCATCAGCCCAAGCATTATCCTCGCTCCACAAGTGTATCGCCTCCAGCGATCTGTGCGTCAGAGCTAGGTGTAGCGTCACTTCACGTACGATCCTAGTAAGCGAAGCGGACTTACTGCTCCGCTTCACAAAACTTTGCAAAACGCCAGCAGCATCACCTCGGATCTTGACTTGACCTTCCAGGTCCGGTGTGAGCCACTTCCACAAGGCCCTCAGGGCCATGTAAGCTTCCCACTGTGCTTGTGACGCTGCCTGTCCAATGCATGCGCCGATGGCTTTCTCGTCGGTCTCATGCCAGGTCAAGCAGAAGCACTCAACTGGACAGCCGTTTACTAGCCTCACCGCACCACCCCCCCAAGGCGATGCGTCTACTAGAAACTCAAGGCACACTTGGTGTCGAACGTGTGCTTGCACTCTCCGGTGGAAGCCGTTGTTGAAACCGTCGAAAAGTGCCACAAGCCAGGTGAGTGCGTGCTTCAGCTGTTTGGCGTAGACTACTTGCTTACTCACATTCAACGCAGCGTACAGCATCTGTACGTAGGGCTTCGCTTGCAGGATCACACCCGCTGCCCAAGACATTTTCCCTGCAAACCTCTGAATGGTCTTGCGAGACGTCCAAGTCCGCTGCAGAATCGTCACAGCTGCTTGTCGCCATTCCTGGATCTTCGCTGCCGGTATGCTGACCTCGATGGTTTGCTGTGTAGGGTCCGCCTTGAGCACAGTGCCTATCCAATGCGCCTCAGCACCTAACGAACCCTTCGGCCAGGCCAACTTCAAGCCAAGAGCTAACCAAAACCACAGTACACGTGCAGCTGCCCAACGCACCACCGGCTGGGTGCCCTTCAAAGCTATGAGCGGGTCATCGATGAACAGCTCCAAACGACTCTCAGCAGAACTGGTTAGTGCTTGGGTGGCTCGTGAAACCAAGGCCGCTATCCTGCACCAGACTAGAGGCCCAGTGCGCACCCCGAAGAGGACAGTCTTGTAGTAAAAGTACCGTCCGTCCGCTTGTCCCGCCAAGTATCGCCGTTCCTTCGGCTTTGTAGGCAGCTGCTTGAAAGCGTCTTTGAAGTCCAATGTGAGCCAAAGTACTTCTTCTTGTGGCTGAAGTCCTGACTCAAACAAGGACACCGCATCCTCAATGGCGTCTTTAAGCCGTGGTAGGACTAGCCGCTCCAGCACTGTAATTTTGCTGTTCACACCACTCCTGCGTAAATCGTGCACCAAGCGGTACTTGTAGCCACCACCAGGCTTGCGCTTAACGATTACACCTATGGAGGAAAGCACCAGCGGCCCTACCTGGGCTTCGAGTGCTGCACGGTCAGCGTCTGCCTGAGCAAAACCTGCGTCGACTTCCTGCCTGAACAGTTTGTCGGCCTGCTCACGGTGTTCTTCGTAGGACTGGTAGTTGTACTCTGCGCCCTTCAACTCGTGACAGAACTCTAAACGCGCAGCTTCACCAAGTTGCTCCTCTGCAGGCACAGCTGGAAACACACCACTGGCAGGGATTTCTTCTTCGACACCAAGCGGCGTCCCCTCCTTTGGCCACTTAGCAGCGGGTAGATCTGGGTCCCCGCTTGCTAGTACAAGCGCTTGCAGCAATTCTGACCAGAGGCCTGGCTCCCGCGGAATGTCCTTCAAGTTCAGCAGGGAGGCCAACTTGCTTTGCACCAGCCGCACATCCGCGTCACTGTAAACAGGTTGGTCTTGGCCAATGGACTGGACGATCTGAAGCATGTTGGGGTTTTCCAGTAGCACCTGGTCTAGGCACTGCCTTACTGCCAGCCCCACTGCCTTCCATCCTGGCACCTTCTGTACAGAACGATGTGCAGCCCGCAAGCCTCCAATGCAGTCTTGGTTCTCGCGCTCGCGCTGTCTCTTTCTTGAGCCCTCCGGTGCGCGTGCCTCTTCGTCGCGCCACGGTTCCGTGCCCTTAGGACAGTTGTGCGGCTCTTGCACTAGCGCCTTGCAGTAGGACTCCGCGACAACTTCGCAGAGCCCCTGTGGGTACTCCGCCGCCAATGCAGGGTCCTGTCGCGCTTGCAACTTGCCATGTTGGTGCTCTGGTGAACCTGGACAATCGCGAGCCAGGACTTGCAGAAAAGCTGCATTCGTAAGCCACTTGGTCGAGTTTCTGTGCTCTCCAGCGAAGCAGCACTGGTCGCGCTTGAGTTGCTTGACCCCTGTGAGCCTCAACAAGGACTGAAAAGGTGGGTAACTCCACAGCAATGACGTTGCCGGCCCTTCGACACTGAACCAGCCTCCAGCTCGGCGCTGTGCCCTCGCGAGTTGTGCTGTCCTTGCTGCTAACAAGTTGGCTTCCACCACCTGCCTGGGTCGTGGTGCTACGCCCTGCGGCCGGCGTGCTGTTCTGAGCTGCTTCGCCTTCGCACTGTGCCCGGAACTCCTGGCCTTGCTAAACGTTCTTCGCGGAAAAGCCGCGTGTAGCCACCGCACTTTGCCCTCTCGCACTAAAAGCTTTAAACTACGGAAAACACTCAAGTCAAAAAGGTCAAAACAGTTGCCAAGTTTGCCGGCAACCTGTGTGTCTGGAACAGCCAAGACTCGTGCGCCCCGCGCTTGCACTGCACGGTTCAGCCCGGCCGCCCCGGTGAAAAGCCCCAGGTAGCCAGCTTCACTTTGCTCAGTCTCTGTGGCCATTCCAGTTTTGGCATGTCTAAATGAATTCTGCTTGCATGACTCAGCGCCTGACGCTGCCACTCTAGCTTTCAGTGTTTCCAACCTTCCCTTGAGGAAGGGCAGATCCACAGTTGTCGGCAGCTGCGCGGTGTCTTCTGCCGCTCACTGTCGCCGCTGGTTGCGGCCCCGGCCTCCTTTGCCTTTGCCTCCTCCACGGCCTCGCGGCGTGTTCGTACCCTTCTCCTCGGGGTTCCAACCAGGGACTTGCGGGCAGTGGATTGATCGGTGCGGCTGCCGGCACCACTCACAGACATGAGCCATGCCTTTGTCGCACTTGTCGTTGGAACATCCATCCGGTTTGCGTGACCAGTCGTAGCAAATGTTGAGGCCTCCTTTGGACTTCAAGTAGCGTCCATCCTTCCGTTGAGGATCAAACTTCCGCTTCTCACCGCCGGGCCTAAACCCCCCATCAGGTGGTGGCTCAGGGACTGCTGGCATGGCCCTAGGGCCATTGCACTGGTAGCGAAGCGCAGGCTGCTCGAACTCTTTGCGCCAGAAGTCACTACAAGAGGCACTTGCCTTGATCACCGAGTTCCATGGCTGCTGGACGTCGTACACCGCCAAAGTTGGATGGGCCAGGTGAAAAGAGTGCTGGCGACGCTGTTCCTGTGCCCACCACTCACTCCGACAACGGATGTCCGCCTGCGCAGCCAAATGCCACACATCTGGGTACTCCGTCACTCGGTTGCGGAACTCGGCACTGTACCTGTCCAATACCGCCGGCTTGGCAATGTCGAGCATGATACAGGCCGTGCGAAAGATGCGCCAACTTTCTTCCCAAGCATGAATATTGGCTGCACCCGGCAGCTCTACTGCCTTCCACTGCCCATCCTTCAGTGCTTGTGAAGTAAATTTCATCGCTCTCGAAATACGGTCCCCATAAGGACCCCAGACTCCCATGTCAATCTACCTTTGCACGTAGGCAGCTCAACTGACTGTCAGTTACCTCCTCCTTTTCCAAAGGCGAGTCGCCTGTGCTAGCAACGTACCGTTGGCGGCAAGCTAGCAACTCGACAGTGCTGAGCATCTCGCAGTCTTGATCGGCGCCTTGATCCACCACTTGGCTCAACTTAAGCTTCACACGTAGTGCCGAAGGTACAGCAGGAGGTGTTGGCAGAGTTCCTAAGGACAGCTGCGTCGTGCTTGCGACTCCTTCGAAAGCTGTGCCGAGTCCAAACTTTTTCCTCACTGCATTCACCAACAGCCGCATCTGCCCCTTTTCAAAGGCGGTTAGCTCTCTGGTGCCGATCCGAGCCTGCGACAGTGCATCACTCCACTCACCAGGGAGCACTGCTGCTAGCAAAGGCATCTGCGACATGTCAGGGTTTCCGAGTTGCCGTGCGACTGATCTCATCAGATTTGTGGGCACTGCTGCCCATTGCATCGCATCGCTGAGCGACGTCCAGGTTTCAAGCACAGCATCGGACGGCAACAAGGATGCCATGGCACCACCCCCACCTATCAAAAGATTTCATCCTTGCGCCAAAATGGCACGGATGGGTTTCCCTTCCCTCCCCCCCAGTACATGTCGTGACACTCTCAATTGTTAATGCGGCACTTACATGCCTTCTCGAATTCCGCTTGATGGCTGTAAACCCCAGGCAGGTCCCAGTAGATCAGTCTTAGGCTCCACGGATGAGTTCGCTGATCCTTCTGTGCACTGCTCGTAGTCTTGCACCTCCAGGATCGCAGTCTCAAGGCTGGCATTGCTGCAAGAGGCTGGCCACAGTCCAGCGGAGTTACATGCATCTGAGTTGCCAAGAGGTTGCTTCTGCTCGGGGTCAGTGGATAAGTTCGGAAAACTCTTGCAGTTGCGGGCATGAGGTCGACCAGGCGATCTGCCTCCGTCGCCTCGGGTAGGGCTGGCAAAGAAGGCTTTGCGTGATGCCAAGCCCTTTCATCAAAGCCTGGGCCTACAAGTCACG